CCTAATAAACCCAATAATCCCACTAAACAGAATCCCAATAATCCCACTAAACAGAATCCTAGTAAACCTAATAATCCCACTAAACAGAATCCCAATTAACCCAATAAACCCCACTAAACAGAATCCCAATAATCCCACTAAACACAATCCTAGTAAACCTAATAATCCCACTAAACAGAATCCCAATTAACCCAATAATCCCACTAAACAGAATCCTAGTAAACCTAATAACCCCACTAAACAATCCCAATTAACCCAATAATCCCACTAAACAGAATCCTAGTAAACCCAATAATCCCACTAAACAGAATCCTAGTAAACCTAATAACCCCACTAAACAATCCCAATAATCCCACTAAACAGAATCCTAGTAAACTCACTAAACAGAATCCTAGTAAACCCAATAATCCCACTAAACAAAATGCCAATAATCCCACTAAACAGAATCCCAATTAACCCAATAATCCCACTAAACGGAATCCCAATAATCCCACTAAACAGAATCCTAGTAAACCCAATAATCCCACTAAACAGAATCCTAGTAAACCCAATAATCCCACTAAACAGAATCCTAGTAAACCTAATAATCCCACTAAACAGAATCCCAATAAACAGAATCCCAATGAGCCCAACATTCCCACAAACAGCAACCCCAATGATCCCGCTGAGCCCTCAAGGACCAGGGTAGAAGGATTGAAGCCAGCCTTGTGCCATCGTGGCAAATCTATAAACCAACAACTTCCCTAAATACTACGACCCAGAGATACCCACAGAGACACAGAGAGACCCACAGACACACAGAGACCCACAGAGAGACACAAACACACAGACACAGAGAGACCCACAGAGACCCACAGAGACACAGAGACCCACATAGACACAGAGAGACCCACAGAGACCCACATAGACACAGAGAGACCCACAGAGACACAGAGAGACAGAGAGACCCACAGAGAGACCCACAGAGACACAGAGACCCACATAGACACAGAGAGACCCACAGAGACACAGAGAGACAGAGAGACCCACAGAGACCCAGAGAGACCCACAGAGACCCACATAGACACAGAGAGACCCACAGAGACACACAGAGACACAGAGACACAGAGAGACAGAGACCCACATATACACAGAGAGACTCATAAAGACCCACAGAGACACAGAGAGACCCACATAGACACATAGACACAGAGACACACAGAGACAGAGATACAGAGACCCACATATACACAGAGAGACTCACAAAGACCCACAGAGACACAGAGAGACCCACATAGACACAGAGACACAGAGACCCAGAGACCCAGAGACACACAGACCCACATAGACACACAGAGACCCACATACACCCAGAGACACAGAGAGACCCACAGAGACCCACAGAGACCCATAGAAACCCATCGAGACCCATACTCAGAGACCCCAACTAAACTAAGTTGATGTCACCAGGTGTAAGACCCCACTGAGCTGCTGTGTAGATATTTTATCAGAAGCGAGCTGGGCCATCACTAATGACAGCAACTCAGCCACGTGGCTGATATCATCATCGTCATCATCACGTGACTGATATCATCATCATCACGTGGACATTGATAGCAGCAAAGACTCTGAACTCGTGATTCTAAATGTGGAGGGGGAAAACCGGAGGACGCGGAGTGAAAAATCCACACAGCGACCACCGCGGGGAGAGAGACGCAGACTCCAAATACACAGCAGCAGCATCATCGCCAGGGTCTGGGATCGAACCCACGACCGCCTACGTCACAACTACCACCACCACTGTCACCACCACCACTATCACCACCACTATCACCACTTCCACTACCACCACCACCACTGTCACCACCACCACTATCAACTATCACAACCACCACTACCACCACTACCACCACTGTAAATCACTACTACCACCACCACTGTCACCACCACCACTATCAACTATCACTACCACCACTACCACCACCACTATCAACTACCACAACCACCACTGTCACCACCACTATCAACTACCACAACCACCACCACTACCACCACTGTCACCACCACCACTATCAACTATCACAACCACCACTTCCACTACCACCACCACTACCACCACTATCACCACCACTACCACCACTATCACCACCACTACCACCACCACTGTCACCACCACTATCAACCACCGCCACCACCGGCCTAACGTGTGATTTTCGACCATTGCGATGTTTTTATAATCCGAAATAAAAGTCTGAATCTTTCTATGGAATCAAAACCCCCTCCTGCTGTCCAGACTCGGAGCTTGTCCAGGCGATGTGAGCCACCAGCCCTGTCGAGGGAGATGTTGACTACCTCGCCTGGTGTACAGGAGGTCGTGGGTTCAATGTTGAGATGTTAACCACCTCGCCTGGTGTGCAGGAGGTCGTGGGTTCAATGCTGAGATGTTGACTACCTCGCCTAGTGTACAGGAGGTCGTGGGTTCGATGTTGAGATGTTAACTACCTCGCCTGGTGTACAGGAGGTCGTGGGTTCAATGTTGAGATGTTGACTACCTCGCCTGGTGTACAGGAGGTCGTGGGTTCAATGCTGAGATGTTGACTACCTCGCCTGGTGTGCAGGAGGTCGTGGGTTCAATGCTGAGATGTTGACTACCTCGCCTGGTCTACAGCAGGTCGTGGGTTCAATGCTGAGATGTTGACCACCTCGCCTGGTATACAGGTCGTGGGTTCAATGCTGAGATGTTAACTACCTCGCCTGGTGTGCAGGAGGTCGTGGGTTCGATACTGAGATGTTGACTACCTCGCCTGGTGTACAGGAGGTCGTGAGTTCGATGTTGAGATGTTGACTACCTCGCCTGGTCTACAGGAGGTCGTGGGTTCAATGTTGAGATGTTGACCACCACGCCTGGTGTGCAGGAGGTCGTGGGTTCGATGTTGAGATGTTGACTACCTCGCCTGGTGTACAGGAGGTCGTGGGTTCAATGTTGAGATGTTGACTACCTCGCCAGGTGTACAGGAGGTCGTGGGTTCGATGTTGAGATGTTGACTACCTCGCCTGGTGTACAGGAGGTCGTGGGTTCGATGTTGAGATGTTGACTACCTCGCCTGGTGTACAGGAGGTCGTGGGTTCAATGTTGAGATGTTGACTACCTCGCCTGGTGTACAGGAGGTCGTGGGTTCAATGCTGAGATGTTGACTACCTCGCCTGGTGTACAGGAGGTCGTGGGTTCAATGCTGAGATGTTGACTACCTCGCCTGGTGTACAGGAGGTCGTGGGTTCAATGCTGAGATGTTGACTACCTCGCCTGGTGTACAGGAGGTCGTGGGTTCAATGTTGAGATGTTGACTACCTCGCCTAGTGTACAGGAGGTCGTGGGTTCGATGTTGAGATGTTAACTACCTCGCCTGGTGTACAGGAGGTCGTGGGTTCGATGTTTAGATGTTGGCTACCTCGCCTGGTGTACAGGAGATCGTGGGTTCAATGTTGAGATGTTGACTACCTCGCCTAGTGTACAGGAGGTCGTGGGTTCAATGCTGAGATGTTGACTACCTCGCCTAGTGTACAGGAGGTCGTGGGTTCGATGTTGAGATGTTAACTACCTCGCCCGGTGTACAGGAGGTCGTGGGTTCAATGCTGAGATGTTGACTACCTCGCCCGGTGTACAGGAGGTTGAGGGTTCGATGTTGAGATGTTGACTACCTCGCCTGGTGTACAGGAGGTCGTGGGTTCAATGCTGAGATGTTGACTACCTCGCCTGGTGTACAGGAGGTCGTGGGTTCAATGTTGAGATGTTGACTACCTCGCCCGGTGTACAGGAGGTTGAGGGTTCGATGTTGAGATGTTGACTACCTCGCCTGGTGTACAGGAGGTCGTGGGTTCAATGCTGAGATGTTGACTACCTCGCCTGGTCTACAGGAGGTCGTGGGTTCAATGCTGAGATGTTAACCACCTCGCCTGGTGTACAGGAGGTCGTGGGTTCGATGTTGAGATGTTAACTACCTCGCCTGGTGTACAGGAGGTCGTGGGTTCAATGTTGAGATGTTAACCACCTCGCCTGGTGTACAGGAGGTCGTGGGTTCAATGCTGAGATGTTAACTACCTCGCCTGGTGTACAGGAGGTCGTGGGTTCAATGTTGAGATGTTGACTACCTCGCCTAGTGTACAAGAGGTCGTGGGTTCAATGCTGAGATGTTGACTACCTCGCCTGGTGTACAGGAGGTCGTGGGTTCAATGCTGAGATGTTGACCACCTCGCCTGGTGTGCAGGAGGTCGTGGGTTCGATGTTGAGATGTTGACCACCTCGCCTGGCTTACAGGAGGTCGTGGGTTCGATGTTGAGATGTTGACTACCTCGCCTGGTGTATAGAAGGTCGTGGGTTCAATGTTGAGATGTTGACTACCTCGCCTGGTGTACAGGAGGTCGTGGGTTCGATGTTGAGATGTTGACTACCTCGCCTGGTGTACAGGAGGTCGTGGGTTCGATGTTGAGATGTTGACTACCTCGCCTGGTGTACAGGAGGTCGTGGGTTCGATGTTGAGATGTTGACTACCTCGCCTGGTGTACAGAAGGTCGTGGGTTCAATGTTGAGATGTTGACTACCTCGCCTGGTGTACAGGAGGTCGTGGGTTCGATGTTGAGATGTTGACTACCTCGCCTGGTGTACAGGAGGTCGTGAGTTCGATGTTGAGATGTTGACTACCTCGCCTGGTGTACAGGAGGTCGTGGGTTCAATGTTGAGATGTTGACTACCTCACCTGGTGTACAGGAGGTCGTGGGTTCAATGCTGAGATGTTGACTACCTCGCCTGGTGTACAGGAGGTCGTGGGTTCAATGCTGAGATGTTGACTACCTCGCCTGGTGTACAGGAGGTCGTGGGTTCAATGCTGAGATGTTGACTACCTCGCCTGGTGTACAGGAGGTCGTGGGTTCGATGTTGAGATGTTAACTACCTCGCCTGGGGTACAGGAGGTCGTGGGTTCAATGTTGAGATGTTGACTACCTCGCCTGGTGTACAGGAGGTC